TTAAATTTGGACTTGTATGGGCTTGGACCCAAGCTCGTTAGGGTTACTTTACTATTTAAATCTATTTTACATTGTAATTTTCAGTTGATGATAGATGAATAATTATTTTGGTAGCTTATGGCGCATCCCTCCCCTTCTTCTATTGAATTCTTCTTCTATCACCTTCCTTAATTCCCCATTCTTTTTGAATCTTTCTTCTATTTCTATTTATCATCCTTTTGGTGCTGCATCAAATTTGGTATCAGAACCTAAATTTGGGTAATCTCTCATCTCCAATCCAAAAATCCCTTCCTATTTCTTTCCTAAGAACTTGTGGAACAACACAAACAAATAAACTTTTAGCATGAGCAGCCAAGTTATTATTTTTCCAGCTTCTTCATAGTTGTTCCAAAAAATAAAAATAAAAATCGTGTACTGTTCACGGGTACTATTCACACCAGAAAATTCATTTTTTTTGTATTATCAGCTTCAAAAAAAAAGTTACTGTTCACACCAAAAAAAAAAAATTCTCATTTTTTCCCTCCTGCTGCTGCTGCTCATAAAAAAAATTGTGGTGTTGTTCCACAAATCCCAAATCCTAGCATTCAAGCATACTTAGCCCTTCAACCCATATATTCCATCTCTATTACCTACTCCATTCATTTTTTATCAAAACACTTGGGCCATAAGCTAGTGGCCCAAATTACTCCCAAAGCCCACTAAATGCACAGCCCATCTCTCATCATCTATTTATCCAATCCACTTGTTTTTCAGCCCAATAAACACTAAATCCAACCCACTTATCACATATCATCACAATCGGCCCAACACCATTCAACCCATGATCAGTCCTAAATATCCAACCAAACCCGATTATAACCAATCCATTAAAATCAAATACTCCATAGTTTCACCCGATTTCTCTCTCATAACCACTCTCTTGCCGCTGCCGCCTCTAATCACCATCATGCCACCACTTCATTATCTATTGTACCCAGGCATCCAGAGCACTACCTCTTCATCGCCATAGGCCATCACCACCTACCCAAGATCGTACACTTCCACCACAATTACCACACTCATATATTTTCTCGTCCATCTCAATAATCTAAAAGCCACAGTCGTTACACAGTTTTACGTCCACACCAAAACCAGCACAAGTTACAGTCTACAGGGGCTAAAACCATTGGATACGAAGGGAAGAACAGAAGCTTCCAGCCCAATACCCGACTATAAAAAGCTCTTTTCTCATCTCCATCTTCTGCCTCGTCCGGCTTTTGAATGGATAATGGAAAGAGACTTTTACGCAAGACTGCGGCGAGAGCTCGACAGACGAGTTCATCTCTTGCTTCAGCCACAAGCACAGTTCTATCTTGGAAGACGCCCGTTCCCCCCACTTCTTCTTCGAAATAAGGAAAGGCCCCATAGGTGAACTGCAATATAGAGTCATAAATAGGGTGCCCGCTAAAAGAGGGAAAAGTGACTTCCACTACCTTTTTTAAAGGAGAGAACTCATAGGAGCCATTCAATAAATCCCTTTGAATTGACCATAAGTCCTGGCAATTTAGATCAAGCGGCATACAAATAATCAAAACTAAACAACAGAGAGTCCTTGATCTCTATTTAGTATTGGTTTATACTACTGCTTCATTTTTAAAATTGCATCAATTAAAATCTTGTGCTGCTATTATTGTGATAATTTTAGCCTTAAACCTCACTTGATCAAAACCATTAATTGAATTGACACCAGTGACCGAATTGACTTCCATTGTTCCCCACTTAAATTGATTGGAGAATTTGACTAGTGTTGACCCTTGCTTTGCCATTTTACATGTACTAGCAGTATTAGCTTGTTTTGAATTTAATTAATCCCAATATTTAAAATTAAATTAAAAGAAAATGGTACAAGTTATTTTTCATTGTTTGCACGTATTATTCACTGATCTCATCATAGCACGTCATTTAGCTGGTATTACATTGCATGTAGTTGCATAGTGGTCGTCTTGTCATCTCTATTTCCAATACATTGACCATGGATCCATCCTAATTTGATGCATTCACTAGACAATTAGCGCAACTTGCCACTAGCCTATCGACTGTCCAATCAGATATAACTGCTACTCGTGAGGAGAGAAAGAACCTAACTGCTAAGTTGCGCAATTTTAAGCGAACCCCTCGTTTAACTTACACTAATTCTGAAGCGTCTCATAATAGACAATATCATCATGGACAAAGTGATCAAAAATATTTTCGACGCGATAGTAGGAATAGGGATCAGATTCGTAAGCGAGAACGAGATAATTTTGAAATTCTTACTCAATGGAATACCCTTAAACAAAGAAATCAATTAGTGACTGAGTATATCGCGCAATTTGAGGAATTTCGAACCAAATGTCATTTAATTGAGGATGAAAGCATGACTTTGAGTAGGTTTAGCCAAGGTCTGAGAGATGATCTTAAGCGCGAGCTTTTCCTTCGAGGTGTCACTACTCTTGATCACGCTTATTCTTTAGCTCAAGATTATGAGTTGATTATTAGTACTCCATATGAAAAGCGTGGTCATCGTCGTTTACCCATCTCATTAGCGTCGCCTCATCATAAATCTATCATAAAACCTTCTCCGTCTAATGTTCCTCCTATTTGGAAAAATAATTGTAAAGGTCGTGATAGTCCAAGATCTTCTTCTTCATGTAGAAAGCGTAATGGCAATCATCTTTCGATTTCATTGGCTCCACTTCCTCTTGTTAAGTCCCTTCTAGGACCTTCCCCGTCTAATGTTCCTCCAATTTTGGAAAATAAGGGTATAATTTGTGAAACTCCAAAGACTTCTCACTTGCTATGCATCAGCTCTAAGGATTTTGACCACATCTCTTCCAAATGTCCTAACCGAGCCTTAGTCATAGAAGAACAAAAGAATGCAATAGAAGAATTGTTAGAAGATCTAGCATATGGCCCTAAACTTGAAGATTTTGATGATTATAGTGAGGACACTTCCTTAAGTGGAATCCCGACCCTTCCCGAGACTTTAGAAACTATACCCCTTGTTTCCGACAACTCTCGATCACATGTTATATGTCATACCCTTACCCAACTCAAAGAGTTTGATGATTTCACTAGTCACCCTTGGAGAATCCAGTCGCTTGTTGTTAACACTAAATCGAAATTCTCCACTACTGACCAACCTCAAACTGATGGTCAAATCGAAATTACTAACCAAAGTCTTGGCAATTTATTACAGTCTCTAGTACAGAAAAATCTTGAGAATTGGGACTCGATCCCCCCAACTGTTCACATCGCATATAACAATTCTATGAATCGGTCTCTAGGTCTAAATTTATTTGAAGTTGTTCATAGTTATAAGTCTAGACGACCGTTAGAACTTATTCTCATGTCCCCGCATGCTAGTGTGTTGTTGTCAGCTGAAGCATTTGTATATCATCTTCATTACAGTCTCTAGTACAGAAAAATCTTGAGAATTGGGACTCGATCCCCCCAACTGTTCACATCGCATATAACAATTCTATGAATCGGTCTCTAGGTCTAAATTTATTTGAAGTTGTTCATAGTTATAAGTCTAGACGACCGTTAGAACTTATTCTCATGTCCCCGCATGCTAGTGTGTTGTTGTCAGCTGAAGCATTTGTATATCATCTTCATGACTTGCATATTGAGATCAATAAACAATATGACGCAAGTAATGCATTATATAAACTTCAAGCTGATTCGCATAAACAATATTTTGAATTTAATATTGGGGATTATGTCATATTGCAAGCTTATAATGCTGGTCCTTTAAAAATTTTAAAGTATGTTGGTTCAAATGCACATGTCATTGCACTTTCATCACATTTTAGCCACCACTCTACTTTAAATATTGAGGACTTCATTACTTACAAATACCATATTACTTCCTTTGATGATCCATTTCTACCTAACTTTGTGGACCCCCAATTTAACTATATTGATATTTCTACTTTAATACCATCTATCACAGCACACAAAGATAAAATTGATGTTATTTTAAATGAACGTGTCGTATTGACCAATGATGGCAAAATTCAGTACTTCCTTGTTTATTGGGTAAATCGACGTACTTCTTATGCTCCTCATTATGTACAATCATGTGAAAATGTTGAAGATGAAGTGCATGAGTATTGGTTATTTGAAGTCCAATATCAGTACTTGGTTAGAAGGAACTTGGTCAGATCATATTCTTGGGAATAAGCTACGGTTTTCAGTACTATCAATTATGGAATTTCGTTACTTGGTTCGTCAGAAAGATCGTCCCCCGTGGCTTGACTTGAAGCATTTGGAGTATCAGATTGACTGCAGCCTATACTATCTATCAACTCGACAGGGTCGAGTTTTTCTCCAACCCCGGGAGAGTTGATGAGGACATCGGACGACGTTTACTTATTTTATTTAAGTTTTATTTATTTTCTTGGACTATTATTTAAATTTGGCCTTGTATGAGCTCGGAGGGTTGCTTTACTATTTAAACCTATTTTGCATTGTAATTTTCAGTTGATGATGGATAAATAATTATTTTGGTGGCTTATGGCGCATCCCTCCCCTTCTCCTATTGAATTCTTCTTCTATCCCCTCCCTTAATTCCCCATTCTTTCTGAATCTTTCTTCTATTTCTATTTATCATCCTTTTGGTGCTGCATCAGTTACTTTATGTTTGAACACTTTCATCATTTTCTCGTCAAAATTGAATTTTTAACATAGAATTGGAAACATGTCATATTAAACAGTCGAAACATGATCAAGTGACCTGCTTGAGTTTCACATTGAATGAAAATCATACATGAACACGTGTTCTCATACATCTCTGCATGTGTGAAAGGGTACATATTGTAGTATATAAGTATATTAAGTACTTTACATGCCAGTTTTTAGGGTGAACTCTACCCAATTGCTTTTAAAAAGGAAAACCAACAGCACGAAATGAATTTGACATCAGTTGAAGAAATTGTATCATAAACTTAATAGATTAGGTTCTGTGAAATTACATGCAAGGGCAAGAATCTCCTGTAAATTCATTTCATAATCACAAAATTTTTCACACCACATACACCAATTAAAAGCCAAATGTCCTAAAACTTGTTCTATCCCCTTTTACCAGAATGTGATAGTACTCTATTACAACATAATATCTTGATACACTTACAACTTCCATTTAGTCTGGATGCAGTGACTGAATTCACAGTTGCAGGGCAAATGCGACTAACAAGTTCTTCAAATCTAATTTATAAACTTCGGGAAACTGTAGCTCCAATTTTTCATACCTGAGGCAGAAATGAGATATACGTGTAATCATTCATATTGAAGCTGCTCTGAGGATATATGTTCGACAGGACAAATGAACTTAGCAGCACGAAGGCAAATACTAAAATAAGAATGTGAAGATGCATATAGGATACACTGAGTGAGTTTCTCTGCTAAATGATTGTGAGAGATCCAGCAGTTAAAACTCGCGACTTGACCGAGCTTCTGCAGGGCTGACTCGAATTGGCCTACCATCAAGGTCCTGCACAAAGAAATGTAAGTGAGAATGCAACTATTGAAAGCATAATTTATAGTCTATAAATAAGTTGCAGCAAATAAAGCAGGGGTTGGACAGCAAGGCATTTGCAAGTCAAAAACTCGATAATACAAGAAGGGCCTGAAACAAAGATGGAAGGATGCGATTTTCAAATAAAGTTCAATAACTGATACCAAGGTGCATCTTTCCATGGATAAAATTTCAAAACTCAACTTTTTAATTGATCGATGCATATTGCCATAATGTCGGCAAAAATTTTATAGCAGTATAAAACAATCACAGTCACAGAAATGTTTGAGACTAAAATTCCACACTTAATCCTCGTTCAATGCATTCAGAAACCAAAATGCCCCACATAAGTTCCTGTTTCAGATTAACAGACGGATATAAACAAATAAGGAAACATCATATGATTGTCAGAGGAATTTACTTACAGCGCCATCTAAAGATTCAATTGCATTATTGACTTCATCAGCAGAACTGTAAGTTACGAATCCAAAACCCCTGGATCTACCACTATCTCTGTCATAAACAACCTTGGCTTCCAAAACCTTTCCTTGCTCACTAAACAACGTTTCAAGTGCAAGATTGTCTACCCCCCATGCAAGGTTTCCCACATAAACTCTGTTTGTATTATCAAAACTTGTCCTTGCCCTAGGCTCTCTGAATGAAGACCTTTCCTTCTTAGGAGGTGGTGGCCCGGAATTGACCCTCAATGCTCTCCCCTCATGTTCCTGCCGTTCATAAACTCTTGCAGAGTAAATTCAATTCCCATAAAGAAACTCTTGAACAATATGCAAGAAACAAACACAAATGCTAAAATTGTTCTCATTATAGCTTAAAGTCATGTCTAATACTACGTAACAAACATGCATTATAAGATGGAAAATTACATATCCATTAAATTGTTGAGTTGCAGCAGCAGCATCTTCGACTGTCGACATTGTCACAAAACCAAACCCCCTGCTTCTTCCCGTGACCTTGTCATAGATAACCTGTAAAGCCAATAGCTTCAGTTAGCCTGCAATTTTCCATCATTTGATAATTACAAGCTTCTCAGATTGAGCCATTTTCAGCCTTCACACTTCTACAATTCTACCCCACAAAAATGAAAATTGAAATATGCAGTATTGATACTGTAGCCGCAAATTTCATAGCAAATGTTAAAAATGCGCACGTGTGTGTATACATATACATAATTGCATGCTGTACAAACTAAATACTGTATACAAGGAAACAACTAATAATGAAAAACACCCAAAATCAATTCACCAGATTATATTTATCTTGTTAAGGAACATCCAAGACTGCATTCATCACACAAATACAACTTTTGAAAAAAATAATAATAAAATAAAAATCATACAGGTGCAAAGTAGAAAAACAATCGTTTGCCACATCCCAATAGCAGAACCATAAGTAATTGTTATCCAATTAACCAAAATTCCAACTCAACAACTGCATCAAGAAAAGAAAACAAGTAAAATCCAAAAAGACACGAAACAACATATGAACCTCAATTCAAAACAAATAAAATCATAACCTTTTCAGATTAGTACCAGCATAAAACTTGAAGCAATTTCAGTACAAATCGAGAATGATAATCTGAAATAGGTAATAAAATTACCTCAACCATCTCAACACTTCCAGCTTGTTCAAATAATTCAGCTAGAGCAGCACTGTCTACATTGAAAGGTAAATTTCCCACAAACAGTTTGACGTCAGCCGAGTAACTGGGCTCCTCTGACCCAGAAAAATCAGCATTCTCATCTTCTTCCAGTTGGTCCAAATCAGAAGAAAACGCAACGTTTCGTATAAACTTAGAATTGCGTCGTCGTGAAAAAGTGTTAACAATATTGCAATTGTTGTAAGACAATGATATTACAGATTTTGTGAGAGGCTTAATGGACCAGGAAGTGAAAAGAGGGAAAGAAGGAGAGGAATGGCCGGAGTGGGCGATTGATTGTGGGGTTAAGGAAAGATAGCGAAGTGAAGAGGCAGGTGTAGCCATTGTTATGTTGAATGAAGATAAGGTTCCTCAATTCCCTCTTTCGTTTCTTAAAAATGGAGATTACATTACATTGGAGAGTCAGGGTTTAGATAGATATTCATTGATATGCTGTCTATGGATGAAGTGTCATATGGATAAGGCATAAGGGCATGTTTGGTTCCATACATAAATGTTAGGCATAAATAAGTTGCATTTTTCTTGTTCTTTTTCTCCTTTGAGAGATGCTACTGCACAGGATTTGATCAGACAACACACAATATTGGGTGGATGGGTAATTTTTTAGCATTATTTTATCACCCACATGAGACCCCCTATGTGAGTAATCTGATGGACTTCAGTGGCCTCCATTATGTAAAAAGGGCAAAAGCCTTCTCCTTTTTAGGAAAAGGATAGTAATTATTTTTATTTTTATTTTCAATTTTTAATGAAATCAAATTACAAATTGACTTAAGAGTTCTTCCATGCTTTCATAGTCCCAAATGTAAAAGTTATTTTTCTTGATGTAAACTATTTTCTTTTTTTGCTTCTGTTTGGTAGAGATCAAAATAAGATTTTAAGTAAATTTTAATAAAAACTAACGAAATATGTGAGTGAAAGTAGTTGGTCCATGAAATATGTTATTAAAATTAATTGTTGATTATGATTTAAATTAAAATCTATACTTTAATTTCCATCAAATACGAGCTTAATATAATAAATATCTAAAAACTAATTTTAACTTAATTTTAAGCATAACCAAACACGGTGACATGTCTTAAGTTTGCATAACAGGAATTAGGTTAATTGTATAAACATCAATAAAGATTCACCTCGACTGCATTTAGGTTCTTAAATTTAATAGCAATTAAACCACTTCATCTATGCGACATCGAAACTTGTTGAGATGACTTTAAAACTAACGTCCACAAACTGGACAATTTCCTAGAAAAAATTAAGAAACTATAAGCAACTAATAAGATGAAAAAGCAATTGTAAACTCGTCGAGGCCTTGACATCCGCCTCCTTTTTAAGTCGAGTTGCATCAACATTCAATTTCTCACGCATTCATAAATAAACAAATAAATACAGATATGAAAAGGAAAAAATAGGAAGGGAAATATGAAAATACAGCCATTTGAGGGAAATAAATTCTTGAACCCTCAGCATACTTTGCATATTCAATACAGCTATTTGAGGAATGAAGTCTACGATTATGTAGTCCATGCAAGCAAAAGGGTTTGGTAATGGAGATATATGGGGACTGGGTTAGTAACTGATTTTCAACCATATTCTGAAATGGGTGACCGTCGACAAATGCACAAAGACAAGCTACATTTGTCTACGATAAATGATACTTTGCGCAGGCTCTCTGTATCTAACATGCTCTAATATTCTATGCTTATCATTCATCTTTGGCAGCATTTAGGAGCCACAAATTAATAATTCTTGAACAAACTAATAATGTCAATTGATTCTTTTGTTACTCTATGTGTGAACCATTTCATCATTTTTCTGTCAAAGTTGAATTTTTTTCACATGGAATTGGAAACATGTCCTAATAAACAGTCGAAACTTGATCAAGTGACCTAGTAAGTTGGTGCATGAATTTATATTGAGGCTTGTGAATTGTGGGAAAATGATGAAATTTGGGTAAGGTTAGACGATCGTATAGCCAGATTTGGTATGCAAGAATTTTGTCTTATTACTAGATTACCTTGCCATGAACCATCCATGGACATTGACGATACAAATGATCGTTTTAGAAATCAATACTTTAACGGTATAAAACGAATCAGTATGAGGATGCTTTTTGAAGCATTCCATGCGTGCGAACATGAAGAAGATAAATTGAAACTTGGTTTAGTCATATTGGTCGAATGTGTGTTGACATCCACTGCAAGATAAATTGATCATAGAACTTTTGGAATGGTTGAACATTTGGATGAGTTCCTTGCATATCTATGGGGTTGTAAAGCATATTTGATCTTGTTATATTCATTGAAAGCATCAAAATCTGAAAGAATGCAAATGATGCAACGGAATGAACAAACAGAATGCAAGTATGCGTTACATGGGTATTCACTTGCATTCCATGTAATTAGTCCATATTCTTGTATTGACTTATTATGTACAATTTATTCTTATAAGAATTTTTTATACATGTAATATTTATTTTTAATTCTCTTGCAGTATTGGATATATGAAGTATTTCCCAAGATCGGAAAGAAATTTGAACGTCGTAGACTAAAAAAACCACAGAGTCCAAGAATATACAAGTGAAAACCCAACCAATTTGTAACTGAAAAAGAGATAAAGCATTTTATGTCTACTCGTAATATATGTTTTAATGAATGTACAATTACTCTCACATTTAACTATCTTAAAATAAAATTAAACTCAAAATAAACGATTTTGGTATTTCAATTTGATTACAGATTCAAGTGATTGTGTGCTATAGCCTAATGAAGAAGAATTACAAACTCTTTGGTACGGAACTTTTTCATTGCCAGTGGATAATGGACACAGTAGATTAGATGAAATTGTAAATGAAGTATTGGATAATGCAGTAGAACAAATCCTAGACAATATATATGTGCAAGAAACGACGATTCTCGATACTTCTACATCTTCACCTGTATTTGGGTCTAGCGATGTTCCCAGTGGCTCCAACTCCTTAAGTGAAGATAAAAGGAAGAATTGTTGGGTATCTACAGGCAACATATAGAATCAGACGTGTCTGGTGTATATAGCAACTTGAAGGCAGAATTTGCTGAAGAATCAAGAGCTCACTACTATGCAGTTCTTCAAAACCAAAAAAGTTATTTTGAGGAGCCAAAAAAATGGCAAGAAAATTACATGCAACATCATTTTCAGATAATTCTTGACAACCAAAAGCAATTTTTCGAACAGCAACAGAAGTGGCAGGAAGATAGATATCATGGTATGCAATCTTATATTGATACCAGTTTAAGTTCAATGAGATCTTATGTCGATGAGCAAAATCAGGAAACACTGAACACATTATTTAATTGGAAATCAAACATGGAAGCCATCATAGGTTCCATGTAACAAGATGTCCCTCTTGATACAAATGTTGTTCCTTACGATAAACCAAAGGAGGTATCAACAACTGAACAAATTGAGAGCTCTAAAAGGTCGATAAAAGAGAAGAAGAACAAGGGGAAACAAATACAGTCTTCATCATCTTCAGGTCGTACTCTGGAAGACTATCTTATGCAAAGATACATAAAAATTAGAAATTTTATATCGAAGAATCAATCTGGGTAATAAATCTAATTTTACTTGTATTAGCTCAAATGTTCAAGTTTTATTTTAATTTATTTGAAATTAATTAAAATTATGTCATACAGTACATACTTGGATAATGACAGTAACAATGTCTTCGAAAAATACATGTTCAAAACTCTAATGGATCAAACACAGGACATAAATATTGCTATAAGTAAAGTCTATGAATTACGATAGATTTTATTTCATAATCGATATATTTAATCTAATTTATATCTATTTATTTCATCAGAACATTGAGTTAGAGTTAAAACTATTGAGACGGCTTATGAATGATGGTTGTCCACTTATTTCAAAAAAATATGCAATGATGGATTTCAAATTTGAAACGGAATGTGCTCGTCACATGATATGGCATATTGACACAGGAATGAAAATCACCAGAGGTGAACTGAATGGAACTCTTTGGCAAAGATATGTGAATGACAAAGCACCTATATTTGGTAGTCCTTGGATGAGATGCAAGTACATATTAATTCCGTGCTTATATCCGGGTAATAGCTGGTACCATTTCATTGTCAATATTCTTGAATGAAAATTCCAAATATATGATTGCAGTAATAACGTCCACACACCGGATCAAGTAAAAGCACATGCAAAAGTTTCATTGACTATGGTACAAGCATTATTGAATACAGCTTTTTCTTCTAGAGGAGATACAAGGAAACATAGGAATAAACAAATGGAGCAGGAGATTATACCCCTATCTAAACTGTGCAAACAATGGGTAAGCATTTAAGTGGCTTGTTTTTTAGCAGAATATTTAATTTCCTAAACTTAGTTATTTAATCTAACACTAAACTATTTTTTCCACAGGTCTAATTGTGGAATTTTCGTGTTCAAATATATAGAATGCTTTGTTTTGGGATATCTAATTGAATCAGTTTCGTCGAATAGGATGAGCATAAATAGACGAAAGATTGCGGTAGATATCTGTAATAACGAATACTTTCTTCATCCCTGTAAGTCCTAATTGTAGTAGATAATCAGAATATATTGATTGGAATATTATGTAATAAACTTGTGTTTTTTATCATTTCTTTTGGTATCTTGTCACATCAGTTATGTGTACATAAAATAAGACTACTTAGACCCAAATAAATAAAGATATGTTAAACATAAAATATTATGAAGAACATGTTTAAAGACAATGATCTGACACTTTTGTATGCCCTATGTTGAAGAAAAAATCGTACTAACAAGTAAAGTATAATTGAAACGCATAATAACATGTAAGAATAACTAACCTTGTATAGCTCAATGTTATTCTCCTTGACACAACATGGATTAGCAGAGAAAATATCCTCTTTTAGGCTACCAATAGATTGGCCGTTCAATTAAACAAAACTTGTAATTATAGACTTCTTAAGTAGTATGTATCAAATTCAAAATTTCAAGGTAGACTACATTTTTTGTGGAACAATTGTGTGATTTTATTTCATCCATTGGCTTTATTAGAACTTTTATATTTTCTCTTGTTCTTACTCTAGATAAAGCGACATATAATTAACCATGTGGGAAGACAAGTTCAGGCAAATATAGTCTAACGAAATCTAAAGTTTGACCTTGAGATTTGCAAAATAAGGACGAATGGAAAATTAAGTTCTCTTAAATGGTACTGAATACTTATCTCCTTCAAGTGGAATAAATGAAATTCTAGGTAAAAATACTTGTTTTCCACGATATTCACCTATTCCATTTTCGGCTAAAATAACATTTCATTTAAATTCTCGACAAATAAGTCTGATCTCATTACACAAACCTTCTGAACAATTAATGTTTCTAAATAACAGAA